ACACCTGCCTATGAGTGAGAACATGCGGTGTTTGATTTTCTGTTCTTGTGTCAGTTTGCTGAGAATGATGGTTTCTAGGTTCATCCATGTCCCTGCAAAGGACACGAACTCATCGTTTTTGATGGCTGCATAATAGTCCATGGTGTATATGTGCAACATTTTCCCTGTCCAGTCTATCACTGATGGGCATTTGGGTTGGTTCCAGGTCTTTGCTATTGTAAACTGTGCTGCAATGAACATTCATGTGCATGTGTCCTTATAGTAGAACGATTTATAATCCTTCGGATATATACCCAGTAATGGGATTGCTGGGTCAAATGGAATTTCTATTTCTAGGTCCTTGGGAAATCACCACACTGTCTTCCACAATGGTTGAACTAATTTGCATTCCCACCAACAGTGTAAAAGTGTTCCTATTTCTCCACATTCTCTCCAGCATCTGTTGTCTCCAGATTTTTTAATGATTGCCATTCTAACTGGCGTGAGATGGTATCTCAATGTAGTTTTGATTTGCATTTCTCTAATGACCAGTGATGATGAGCATTTTTTCATATGTTTGTTGGTCTCATGTATGTCTTCTTTTGTAAACTGTCTGTTCATATCCTGTACCCACTTTTGAATGGGCTTGTTTGTTTTTTTCTTGTAAATCTGTTTTAGTTCTTTGTAAATTCTGGATATCAGCCCTTTGTCAGATGGGTAGGCTGCAAAAGTTTTTTTTCCCATTCTGTTGGTTGCCGATTCACTCTAATGACTGTTTCTTTTGCTGTGCAGAAGCTGTGGAGTTTGATTAGGTCCCATTTGTCTATTTTGGCTTTTGTTGCCAATGCTTTTGGTGTTTTGGTCATGAAGTCCTTGCCTATGCCTATGTCCTGAATGGTTTTGCCTAGATTTTCTTCTAGGGTTTTTATGGTGTTGGGTCTTATGTTTAAGTCTTTAATCCATCTGGAGTTAATTTTGGTGTAATGTGTCAGGAAGGGGTCCAGTTTCTGCTTTCTGCACATGGCTAGCTAGTTTTCCCAACACCATTTATTAAACAGGGAATCCTTTCCCCATTGCTTGTTTTTGTCAGGTTTGTCAAAGATCGGATTGTTGTAGACATGTTGTGTTGCCTCCGAGGCTCTGTTCTGTTCCATTGGTCTATATCTCTGTTTTGGTACCAGTTCCATGCTGTTTTGATTACTGTAGACTTGTAGTATAGTTTGAAGTCCGGTAGTGTGATGCCTCCCACTTTGTTCTTTTTGCTTAGAATTGACTTGGCTATGCGGGCTCTCTTTTGGTTCCATATGAAGTTTAAGGTGCTTTTTTCCAGTTTTGTGAAAAAGGTCATTGGTAGCTTGATGGGGATAGCATTGATTCTGTAAATTACTTTGGACAGTATGGCCATTTTCACGATATTGATTCTTCCTAACCATGAATATGGAATGTTTCTCCATCTGTTTGTGTCCTCTCTTATTTCGTTGAGCAGCGGTTTGTAGTTCTCCTTGAAGAGGTCCTTTACATTCCTTGTTAATTGTATTCCTAGGTATTTTATTCTCTTTGTAGCAATTGTGAATGGCAGTTCATTCTTGACTTGGCTCTCTTTAAGTCTGTTATTGGTGGATAGGAATGCTTGTGATTTTTGCACATTGATTTTGTATCTGGAGACTTTGTTGAAGTTGCTTATCAGTTTCAGGAGATTTTGGGCTGAGATGATGGGGTCTTCTAGATATATAATCATGTCATCTGCAAATAGAGACAATTTGACTTCCTCCTATTTGAATACCCTTTATTTCTTTTTCTTGCCTGATTGCTCTGGCTATTACAATAACCTTCTAACTTTTCTTTCTGCACTTGGTTTGGCATTCTTCCTTAGGCAGTCAGAATAAGCTTTGAAAATACAGTTTTTTTTTTGTTGTTGTTGTTTTTTGTTTTTTTTTTTTTTTTTTGAGACAGAGTCTCACTCTGTTTCCAGGCTGGAGTGTAGTGGTACAATCTCGGCTCACTGCAACATCCACCTCCTGGGTTCAAGTGATTCTTCTGCCTCAGCCTCCCAAGTAGCTGGGACTACAGGTGTGTGCCACCACGCCCAGATAATTTTTGTATTTTTAGTAGAGGTGGGGTTTCACCAAGTTGGCCAGGATGGTCTCCATCTCTTGACCCTGTGATCTGCCCTCCTCGGCCTCCCAACATGTTGGGATTACAGGTGTGAGCCACCAGGCCTGGACCTGAAAATACAAATCTTAATAAGTCCCTCTCTGGTTAAATATCTTTGAGGATTAAGCTCAAACTTTTAGCAGTTTATGATAAGGTCCTGATCTTATATCTTTCATATCATTTCTGTCCATTCTTCCACCCTTCGCTTGAAGCACTTTTTCTAATATAAGCAGTAGCTTCTAGCCTTTGAAAAAGCTATTTTTCCCCCTTTTAGCTTTGTTAATTCCTATTCATCCTCTAAAAATCAGTTTTTTTTTTTTAAAGAGACAGGGTCTTGCTATGTTGCCCAGGCTGGAGTGCAGTGGCTATTCACAGGCACGATCCCACTACTGACCAGCATGGGAGTTTTGACCTGCTCCGTTTCCAATCCGGGCCGGTTCACCCCTCCTTAGGCAACCTGGTGGTCCCCGCTCCTGGGAGGTCACCATATTGATGCCAAACTTAGTGCGGACACCCAATCGGCATAGCACACTACAGCCTAGAACTCCTGGACTCAAGAGATCCTCCAGCCTCAGCCTCCTGAATAGATGGGACTACAGACACGCGCCACTGGACCGGCTAAAAATCAGTTTTAATCTTGCTTCCTAGGAGACTTTACAGCCCCACTGTAATTTAGATATTCCTCTCTTCTGCTATTGGAGTCTGTGCACCCCTCAATCACTCTTACCACACTGTACTGAGGTTGTTGATCTTTTCTTAACTTTTTTGAATGTATTCATTTTTGGAGTTGGCTTTCCCACTGCACACTCAGGTGTCTTAAACACATTTAATTTTTTCTTCTGTGTATTGACGATTCATGTTCTTTGCTCATTTTTCTGTTGAGTTGTGCTTTTCTTTCTTTCGTTTTTGTTTTCTTTTTTGAGACACAGTCTTTTTTTTTTTTTTTTTTTTGAGACGGAGTTTCGCTCTTGTTACCCAGGCTGGAGTGCAATGGCGTAATCTCGGCTCACCGCAACCTCCGCCTCCTGGGTTCAGGCAATTCTCCTGCCTCAGCCTCCCGAGTAGCTTGGATTACAGGCATGTGCCACCATGCCCAGCTACTTTTTTGTATTTTTAGTAGAGACGGGGTTTCACCATGTTGACCAGGATGGTCTCGATCTCTTGACCTCGTGATCCACCCGCCTCGGCCTCCCAAAGTGCTGGGATTACAGGCTTGAGCCACCGCGCCCGGCCGAGACACAGTCTTGCACTGTCACCAAGATGTAGTGCAGTGGAATGATCTCAGCTCACTGCAATCCTGGGTTCAAGCAGTTCTCCCGCCTCAGCCTCCCGAGAAGCTGGGACTACAGGTGTGCGCCACCTCACCACCACCACGCCCAGCTAATATTTTTGTATTTTTGGTAGAGACCAGGTTTCACCATGTTGGCCAGGATGGTCTCGATGTCCTGACCTCGTAGTCTGCCTGCTTTGGCCTTCCCAAGTGCTGAGATTACAGGTGTGAGGGACTGCCCCCGCCCCCACCCCCTTTTTTTTTGTTGAGACAGTCTCATTCTATTGCCAGGCTGGAGTGCAGTGGCACCATCTCGGCTCACTGCAACATCTGCCTCCCAGGTTCAACAGATTCTCTTGTCTTGGCCTTTCCAGTAGCTAGGACTACAGGTGCGCACCACCACGCCCAGCTAATTTTTTTTTGAATTTTTAGTATAGACGGGGTTTCACCATGTTGGTCATGTTGGTCTCAATGTCTTGACCTTGTGATTTGCTCGCCTTGGCCTCCCAAAGAGCTGGAATTACAGGCATGAGCCACCACACCTGGCCTTTTTTTTTTTTTTAATATTTATTTCCATATACTGTTTTGAACTAAAACACCTGGCCTTTTTTTAATAGTTATCTCTTGGACTGTTTTCCCATAAGCATTGTCCAATTTAATGGGTTTCCCATAATTTACTTAACCATTTTCATTTAGTGTTGGATTTTTAGATTGCTTTCATTTTTTCAGTTATACTACCACATAAGGAATTATTTATGTTTATTTTCATGAAATAATTTCCTAGAAATGTAATTACTGAATAGGAACAATCAGTTTTTTTGTTTGTTTTTTTTTTTTTTGAGTTGGAGTCTTGCTGTTGCCTGTGCTGGAGTGCAGCAGTGCAATTTCTAATTGCAACCTTAGCCTTCCGGGTTCAAGCGATTCTCCTCAGGTTTTCGAGTAGCTGAGATTACAAGCCACCATGTCCAGCTAATTTCTGTATTTTTAGTAGAGACGTGGTCTCATCTCACCATGTTGGCCAGGCTGGTCTCACACTCCTGGCCTCAAATGATCCACCCGCCTTGGCCTCCCAAAGTGTTAGAATTACCGGTGTTAGCCACTGCCCCGACCTCTAAGTTGCTTTTAAGAAGTAACCAAGGTTTGTAAGCTGAATGTGCTCTGAGGGGTAGAAGCAGAAAAAGTTAACTGTGGAAAAGTCATGTTTTCACTTAGCTAAAGGATAAGCCAAATGTAGGGGTGACTTGGGTTTAGCAGTAAGGGGCACCAGCTAATGCAAAACCGTTAGCTTTGGGAACAGGACAACCTGGATTCTAAGCCCATTTTTGCCACCCTGTGACCTTCAGGTGGTAGGTAGCCCTCTCTGGGCCTTAGTTTTCTGAAATTCAGGTAGGTTTTGCTCAGCCTTTATATTTTCCACCATCTTTAGACCAAACACTCACTGGCGCTTCCAAATTGAAAACAGCAGCTGCGGAACTGACGTAATGGGCTGAATCAGCCTCATCCGCGAAACGCCGACTAATCACTCGCAGGCACTTCCGGCGGCCTGGACAAAAGGTTTCAAGTCCCTGGGGCTACACTTCCGGATAATTAAGGCTGCGCTTTAGCTGCCGGTGCCAGCTAGCCGCAGCCGGGTGACTTGGGTGCCGCAACTGCGCATGCTTCCCGCGGACGCGGGGCGGGGCGGAACACTGGAGGGGGCGGTCCAGGACCCTGACTCGTCTCGCGGTTACTGGGCCGGCGCGAGCGCGCGAGGCTCGGGGGCGGAACGGGGTGGGGTTTAGCCTGGGGTGGACGCTGCGGGTCTTACCTGGGCGTCGCTGTGCTCGCGGTGCTGAGGTTGTCTTGGGTGAGGAGGTCGCGCCGGAAGTGGCTCTGGCGGTGGCCCTTCGGCGTAGTAAGGAGCTTGCGACATAGTTTAGTTGTTTAGGGGGCGCGGCGCCACACTGCTCCCTCCACTTTCCTTGGTGCAGCCATGGCGAAAGGCAGAGTCGCCGAACGATCGCAGACAGGCGCTCACCACACAATCCCCGGGGGGGACGGGGCAGCGGGGACGCGGGCTCCTGCGGCGCCTGTCAGCAGAGACCACCAGAAGGGTGAGTGGACCCAGGGACCAGAGCTGGGACTGGCCCGATACATCTTTGTGCCCGGAGGGGCTCCAGAGGGGCGAGGAACCCCAGCTCGTCTCGGAGAGTTGCTAGGAAAAAGGGGGCCTGCTGGCGTCGGGGAGAGAGCATCGACCGTGGGGGAGTTGGGCTTGGGCGCTCGCGCAGCAAAAGGCTGGACACCTAGTAGGTGCGCTGTAAATGCTGTTTGAGTTGAATTCAATTAAAAGAAGGGATGACACTGGCTTGTTGACGCTCAGGTAGATTGTAAGGTAGATAATAACGACGCTAGGTAGAGCTGGAAGAAGCTACACTGTAGCATTCGTTGCGTTTTTACAGATGAATAAACTGAGGCCCAGGGTGAATATATGACTTATAAAGTCATAAAACCAGATCAATGAAGTAGCAGTTAGGAGCAAGGACTTAATACTTCCAGGTGGCAGGTACACCTGTGTTTGAGTCCCTGCTCTACTGTTTACTTTTGACCTTGGACTCGGTAACTTTCAAAAGCTCAGTATCTGAACTGTGAAATGGGGATAATAATAATATCTACTTAACAGATGGTGCGTGGGTTAAACGAAATCACGTAAAAGATTTAGAGTAATGCTTGAATATGAAGTGGGGGCTAAATAAATATTAGCAATTACTTAGTTACAGCTAAGGTCAATCATTCGAAAGTTTTTTCCCCACTGCATTATCCTTACATTGCTCACGGCTTTAGTTTTGATTTTTGCTTTCTCTTTATTCCTACTGCTTATATGATTGCAGAATCTCACGGCTTTCAATATTGTTTTAAGGAAAAAACTGTATCTAGAAACGAAATACTTTGATTCTGTGTTGGTATGGAATTGTTCTTTAAATGATTTTAAAGCTCAGAAACGAATTGATTTTAACAAGTTTGTCTATAAGTCACACAGGTGTGTTCCACCACCAGTGATGGCTAACATGAAGAACTTTTTTTTTTTTTTTTTTTTTTTTGAGACGGAGTTTCGCTCTTGTTACCCAGGCTGGAGTGCAATGGCACGATCTCGGCTCACCGCAACCTCCGCCTCCTGGGTTCAGGCAATTCTCCTGCCTCAGCCTCCTGAGTAGCTGGGATTACAGGCACGCGCCACCATACCCAGCTAATTTTTTGTATTTTTAGTAGAGACAGGGTTTCACCATGTTGACCGGGATGGTCTCGATCTCTTGACCTCGTGATCCACCCGCCTCGGCCTCCCAAAGTGCTGGGATTACAGGCTTGAGCCACCGCGCCCGGCCTGAAAGGAGTTTTCTTATGTCGCCCGGGCTAGAGTGCAGTGGAGTGCACTGCAGCCTCCATCTCCCAGGTTCAAGTGATTCTCATGCCTCAGCCTCCTGAGTAGCTGGGGATTATAGGCGCACACCACCATGCCCAGCTAATCTCATGATCCACCCGCCTTGGCCTCCCAATGTGCAGGGATTACAGGCATGAGCCACTGAGCTCTGCAGACTTTTTTGAGATCTCCTAGGCTCAGGCAATTCTTCTGCCTCAGCCTCCTGAGTAGCTGGATTACAGGCATTCGCCACCACGCCTGGCTAACTTTGTGTTTTTAGTAGAGATAGGGTTTATCCATGTTGGTCAGGCTGGTTGTGAACTCTTGACCTCAGGTCATCTGCCTGCCTTGGTCTCCCAAAGTGCTGGGATTACAGGGGTGAGCCCCTGAGCCCTGCACTGGCTAGACTTTTTAATCTATGTTTAGAACTCTAAACTCCGGGTTTGTTAGAATTATACCCAAGAAGGATTGTTGAATGTAATTGCCAGCATTCTCTGTTTACCAGTTTGTGTGAAAGGAGAACCTCAAAATGGAATGTCACTAGGCTTTATTGCATCCTTATAAGCTGTTTCATTGTGTTACTATTGAATGCAATGCTGGAGAAAGTTTGCCTAATTATAGAGAGTGAGGAAAATATCAAGTTAAACCTATATGTTAATTTTGTTCAAATGTCTATATACTTCATCATTCAACTATAATAAGACATGTGGCAATTACAGACATGTCCAGTCAAGGAAAACTCAGGGTAATTAATGTTCTTTAGTCCAGTTAAACACTGACTCCTGCCGGGCACGGTGGCTCAAGCCTGTAATCCCAGCACTTTGGGAGGCCGAGGCGGGTGGATCACGACGTCAAGAGATCGAGACCATCCTGGTCAACATGGTGAAACCCCGTCTCTACTAATGGTGCAAAAAATTAGCTGAGCATGGTGGCGCGTGCCTGTAATCCCAGCTACTCCGGAGGCTGAGGCAGGAGAATTGCCTGAACCCAGGAGGCGGAGGTTGCGGTGAGCGGAGATCGCGCCATTGCACTCCAGCCTGGGTAACAAGAGCGAAACACCGTCTCAAAAAAAAAAAAAAAAAAAAAAAACACTGACTCCTTTTGCTCTTTTTTTTTTTTTTTGAGACGGAGTTTCACTCTTGTTACCCAGGCTGGAGTGCAATGGCGCGATCTCCGCTCACCGCAACCTCCGCCTCCTGGGTTCAGGCAATTCTCCTGCCTCAGCCTCCGGAGTAGCTGGGATTACAGGCACGCGCCACCATGCTCAGCTAATTTTTTGCACCATTAGTAGAGACGGGGTTTCACCATGTTGACCAGGATGGTCTCGATCTCTTGACCAAAACAACATTTTTGATTCAATTGGTTTTATTACACCCTGATGGAACTTTTTGCTGATTATGCTTTCCTTTTTTAGAGCATATAACTTATGAGTGAATATAACTTGTTAGGAGGCCTCAAGATATATGCATTGGATTAGATGCAAAAATGTAATGGACAGTTTGGCATATGTTATTAGAAGATTCTGCAGAGACCTTTTCATGTTTGACCTACCTCCGATGTTTAAGTGTTTTTTTGTTTGTTTGTTTGTTTGTTTTTTGAGATGGAGTTTCGCTCTTGTTACCCAGGCTGGAGTGCAATGGCGTGATCTCCGCTCACTGCAACCTCCGCCTCCTGGGTTCAGGCAATTCTCCTGCCTCAGCCTCCTAAGTAGCTGGGATTACAGGCACGCACCACCATGCCCAACTAATTTTCTGTATTTTTAGTAGAGACCGGGTTTCACCATGTTGACCAGGATGGTCTCAATCTCTTGACCTCGTGATCCACCCGCCTCGGCCTCCCAAAGTGCTGGGATTACAGGCGTGAGCCACCGCGCCTTGCCCTAAAGTGTGTTTTTAATTCTCTGTGCTCCAAAAAATCATACATATTAGTACATCTGTGGATTAATGAACTAGAGTACTAAGAGACAGGCATGCTTGGTTTATTGTTCCATCGAAGTTACCTCTTGTACTATTTTATGATCCTATTCCTTCCTGCCATAAATTTTAGAAGTAAGATATGAGCAAATCTCCTTTTTGAGATTAAGATGAAACACAACAAAATTAGAATAGTAGGGACTAGTTGGAGTCTGGGCGTGGTAGCTCATGCCTATAATCCTAGCACTTTGGGAGGCTGAGGTGGGCAGATAGATCACCTAGGTCAGGAGTTTGAGACCAGCCTGACAAACATGGTGAAACCTAGTTTCTACTAAAAATGCAAAAATTAGTTGGGCCTGGTGGTGTACGCCTGTAATCTCAGCTATTCCAGAGGCTGAGGTGGGAGAACCGCTTGAACCTGGGAGGCGGAGGTTGCAGTGAGCCAAGATCGCAACACTGTACTCCAGGCTAGGCGACAGAGCAAGACTCCATCTCAAAAGCAAAAAAAAAAAAAAGGGCCGAGCGCGGTGGCTCACACCTGTAATCCCAGCACTTTGGGAGACCGAGGTGGATGGATCATGAGGTCAGAAGATTGAAACCATCCTGGCTAACATGGTGAAACCTTGCCTCTACGAAAAATACAAAATGTTAGCTGGGCATGGTGGCACATGCCTGTAGTCCTAGCTACTTGGGAGGCTGAAGCAAGAGAATCGCTTGAACCCAGGAGGTGGAGGTTGCAGTGAGCCAAGATTTCGCCACTGCACTTCAGCCTGGGAAACAGAGCGAGACTCCGACTCAAAAAAGAAAGAATAATAGGGACTAGTTGGAAAGCTAAATTGATTGTTTAGATTACTGAAAGTTGGAAAAGACAATTGAGTTTTTCACATAACTAAAACCTTATAGAAAACTTGCTAAATTTAATGAATAGGTAAGAATAATTTATATTTAGTATTATTGAAGCACTAACCTAAGCAATTCTTATTTCAACAGAAATTACAGGTTAATTATAAATAGATATTAAAATGCTTTGGAAATATACTTCCCATTATTTGGTTCCCTTTAGAGATGGGGTCTCACTGTGTTGCCCAGGCTGGAATCAAAGTCCTGGGCTCAAGTAATTGTACTGACACAACTTCTTGAGTAGTTGGGAATGCAGGTGTACACCACCACCACACTGGCTCAGGAATGTTTTTTTAAATAGATATATATTGCACTCTCAAGGCCGGGCGCGGTGGCTCAAGTCTGTAATCCCAGCACTTTGGGAGGCCGAGGCGGGTGGATCACGAGGTCGAGAGATCGAGACTATCCTGGTCAACATGGTGAAACCCCGTCTCTACTAAAATACAAAAAACTAGCTGGGCGTGGTGGCGCCTGCGTGTAATCCCAGCTACTTAGGAGGCTGAGACAGGAGAATTGCCTGAGCCCAGGAGGCGGAGGTTGCGTTGAGCCGAGATCGTGCCATTGCACTCCAGCCTGGGTAACAAGAGTGAAACTCCGTCTCAAAAAAAAAAAAAAAGATATATATTGCACTCTCCTTCTTTGGGCCTCTTACCTGTAAAAGTGAGCCAGATTTTTGCTTTTCAAGCTTTAATGTGTGTGAAGATCACGAGTATTGTTAAAAGGTGGAATTTTGCCTCAGTGGAAATGTGAATTTCCAGCAAGCTTCCTGGTAATGCTGATTTGTGTGGTCTACCAAACATTCTTTGAATAGCAAGGAGCTATTTGTTTCTATTTCTCCATGTTCAACATAGAATTTGGTAATGTCTAGCCAGGGCTCCGTGGC